CTCTGAGGAATCCCTTGCCTTATGAGATTGTGGCAGAAGCATAATAGTTGGATGTTTTTGTCAAAATGATCAGTAGCAAACCTTTTAACAGCCTTGACATTGACTCAGCAATCACTAGGTTTCAGAGTTAACATGCAATTTACATGAATGAGGCCTTTAATTCCTCTCAGAGTGGGCAGGCTGTCTGCACACAGAGGCCAACATCACTTCATCAGTTAGCATTTTCTAAATATTTTCAAGATTTCATCTGTACACATAAAGACTCTAAATATCGTTTTACGTGAAAGCTTTGATTGTGGAGCACCGTTCATTGGTGGGGGGGAGAAATCCATGGCAAATTCTGTTGCTGCACTGTCACAGAACACACAGTATGAAACATTGGGCTACGTCCTTATGATGACTGAGAAAAGTCATCGGAGTGACCAGCTCTTGATGAGCAACTATGGCAGGATGCATATTGCTGGTCTTCTGCTCAAAGCAGTAGCAGTTGTTTGTAACATGGGTGCTCTCTGGTTCGGACCCTAGACCCATAGGGCCGATGGGTTACAGATGAACAATTTCCTGAGTACCCCCACAGCCCATGGCAGAATGTTCTCAAACACCTAATCAGTCTGTGCGGTGCCACCGTGCAGTCTCGCACACAAGGGAAGGCAGAAGCAAGTCTGCTGGGTTTTGAGCTTTGGTTGCTCAACCTGTCAGGGTGGTTAAACGCTGGAATAAGTTGCTAGGGAGGTTGTGGAATCTCCATCCCTGGAGATATTTAAGAGCAGGTTGGACAGACACCTGTCAGGGATGCTCTAGATGGTGCTTGGTCTTGCCGTGAGGGCAGGGGACTGGACTTGATGACCTCTCGAGGTCCCTTCCAGTTCTAGCTTTCTATGATTCTGTGAAATGGAGTAAGTTTTAGAAAGTTGGATCACCTCCTCTCCCATCTTTCCCTGTCTCTCTGCCACCCCCTACACTCCCACATAGACCTTCCGCAGCGCTCCAAATTCCAACTGCACCATCCCTGCTTAGCACTCCAGTCTTAGGAATGGCTCAGAGACCATAGGAATGAATGGGATGGCGATAAAGTGGTTCTATCGTGTTTTTCATTCGCCGATTAAAACCGTTTCCTTCTCTTTCCCATACAGGAAGCAACGGAAAAAGTTGCATGATCGTCTTAGGCAGAGCCTTCGCTCTGAACGGCACAACATGGTGAACGTGGCTAACGGGCCCCACCATCCCAATCCGCCACCCGAAAACGTCCAGCTGGTAAACGTAGGTTTTAATGTCCGTTCAGAACTCTAAGCCGTGAGTGCAGCCGGTGCATTTATCTGAGAGCTTTTCAATGACTAGCTGCTAAAAATCAAGGATCAGGGTTTCCAGGAATATGGGATTTCTCCCCCCAAGAAACGTTTAGAAATATTTTAAGGAGCGGTGCTGCTGTACGGTAAATTCAGAACATTTTCATGTGCAGCCATTTCAGAAGAACATGGAATATCAGTCAGTCGATTGCTCTGTATCAGAGGCTGAGATGTTAGCATACCAGCCTTACCTCATAGCCACAACCTTGTGAGGAAGCATGTCTTTGGAAATGGAGCTCTACAAATAATGTACCAAGTGGCTATTTGACCTTTCTGGTGTGGAGTAGCCTGATTGCTTTTTGTTTTGCCGTCCCAGGTTACAAACAGACCCATTTTCTTTTCCCTCACGCCAGCAAAGGCTGGCGAACGTTGCTGGGGTAACGCTCCCCAAAACAGACAGCTGACCAAAATGCAGGTGCGCAGTGCGGTCCCGATGTAACCCAGAGCACCGTCTGTTTCCTCAGCAGCACGTGTCTAAAAACGTCATTGCCAGCGAGCACGTCATTGAGAGGGAGACGGAGACGTCGTTTTCCACGAGTCGCTACACCTCGACGACGCATCACTCCACCACTGTCACCCAGACGCCTAGCCACAGGTACCAGAGTGAGAAAAGAAATCTCCTTGCCTGAGGAGAAACTGGTGTTGGATGTCAGGCTCTCCTCACTGCATGAAGGGGGAATGTATGCAAATGCACTGGTCCTGGGGGTTTCATCGAAGGACGTGCGGTCGTGGACATCCTGTGACTGAAACGAATTCTCTTCCTCGGCATTTTCCCTGAGTGCTGTTGATTGTGTGGAATTCCGTTACGGTTTGCATCAAAATTAATGATGCAGGGAGGCATAGCTCAGTGGTTTGAGCATTGGCTCGCTAAACCCAGCGTTGCGAATCTGTCAGGGATGGTCCAGGCAGGGGACTGGACTTGATGACCTCTCAAGGTCCCTTCCAGCTCTATGAGATAGGTATATCTCCATACGATATCCACAAATTGCTGAACTGACAAGAAGCCTTTTGTTTATTGACACTCTTAACCGAACCACCCCCTGGTACTCACAGAAATAACCCCATCTTCTCGTTTGTTGGATGGGAGACTTCACACCAACTAGGACAGGGGTCTCCAACCTTTTTTAATTGAAGTGCAATCCAAGATCTACGTCAAATATAAATACCCTGGCCCTGCCCTTCTCCGAGGCCCCGCCCCTGCTCACTCCGTCCTCCCTCCCTCCCCCATCCTCTCTCCCTTTGACCAAGCAAGGGCAGAGGGTTGGGGTGCAGGTTCTGGTCTTGGATTAAGGGATATTGAGAGGGGCTCTGAGCTGAGCTTGGAGAAGGCAGTTGGGGTGCCGGAGCGGGTTCTAGGTGCAGGCTCTGGGGTGGTGTTTGGATGTAGGGGTGCTCGGGGCTAGGGCAGGGGCTTGGGGTGTAGGAGGGGGTTCGTGACAGGGGTAGGGATTCAGGATGTGGGCACCAGCTAGACACTGCTTACCTCAGGGGGCTCCTGGGTGGTGGGGCAGTGGGGCTAAGGCAGGCTCACCCCTGCCCTGGCTCTGTACCACTCCCAGAAGCACCCGGCAAACCCCATCCCAAGTCCTGTTGTGCCCCCTCTCTGCTCTGTGGAGATAGAATACAGGGTGGGAGAGGGGGCACCTCGACATCAGCGCCCTCCATTCCCTTCCCTGCCCTGCACAGCAAGCAGAAACTCTGAGGGGACCGCTCCAAGGCAATGGGCAGGAGATGTGCAGCAGTTTGGGGGGAGGGCGGTAGCTGAAGTGCTGGGCTTGATAACCTCTTGGCCAAACTAGTTAGAGGCTCCAAGATCTACCAGTAGATCCTGATCTACTCGTAGGTGACCACTGAACTAGGGCCTTGGATGGCCGTGGGGTGGAGTCTGACAGGCATGTACCGTGGCTTCTCCCATTGCTACACTCCGGTTGCTTTGCTTTCTCCTCTTCTGAATTTAAAAGAGAAGTTCTTCCTCTCCTCTTTCCGCCCTGCCCCCCACCAGCTGGAGTAACGGTCGGACCGAAAGCATTCTCTCCGAAAGCCACTCCGTGCTCATGAGTTCTTCGGTGGAGAACAGCAGGCACACAAGCCCAGCCGGACCCAGAGGACGCCTCAGCGGCATAGGAGGGCCTCGAGAGTACAACAGCTTCCTGAGGCACGCGAGAGAGACGCCCGACTCCTACCGAGATTCTCCTCACAGCGAAAGGTACCGTGTAACCCACACACCTAGTGTGGTGACTGAGCAATGCAAGTGGTACCTAGACCGCAGCAACAGCTGTGATCAAGAGACCTCTACAGCAGGTGCTGAGAGCCAGCTGGCTTTTAGCTCAGAGGGTAGAGGCGCCTCTCTTTTTAGCTCCAGAGGTCCCAGGTTCAAATCTGTCTGGTGGTGGTTACACCCGCACATGGTTTTTTTTGGCACCCTCTCACCGGCACCATGAGGTGGGCTTGAAGAGAGACAGAGGTGAATCTGACTTGCCCGGGGAGCACAGAGAAAATTCTGTTTCTTAGCAAATGCACCTCGTTCAGAAATGCACTGAGCAGTGTCCCTTTGATCTCTCAAACAATTTTCTTCCCTTCCTCCCTCTTCTGGTCCTGGCTAATAGCTACTGGGCGGTAGTTTAGATATGGAAATAATTTGCCAGAGGTATCCACTGCCTATGAAGCTAGGAAAGATGATCAAAGGGAAATCTTTTGCTTCACTCCATTTCTCGGTTGCTTTCTGCATACAAGTAAGGCAGCCTAGGGAATTTGTCAGAGACAAAAGGGGATGATAAAGAGGGGGGATTGATTGAGCGATCCACCGGAGGAGAGATTTTCAAAGCACCCATGCACTTTAGGAACACAAGCCCCTATGTCTTTCCATGAAATTTCTCCTTCTAAACCCCTTCGGTGGTTTTAAAAATTTCCCCCAAGTGTGTTTGTAAGTAAAAGCAAGGCTAGAATCAAAACAGAGTAAGATGACCGACTCTCCTAGAGTGTCGATGGTACGCCCACATCTTGAATTCTGCATACAGATGTGGTCGCCTCATCTCAAAAAAGAGATCTTGCCATAGGGAAATGTTCAGAAAAGGGCAACAAAAATGATGAGGGGTTTGGAACGGGTCTCATGTGAAGAGAGATTAAAAAGACTTGGACATTTCAGCTTAGAAAAGAGGAGAGTATGATAGAGGTCAATAAAATTGGTGTGGAAAAAGTAAATATGGAAAAGTTATTTACTTATTCCCATAAGCAACAGGTTTAAAACAAACAAAAGAAAGTTTTTCTTCGCTTAGTCAACCTGTGGAACTCCCTGCCAAAGGATACGGTGAAGGCTAGGATTTTAACAGGGTTCAAAAAAGAGCTAGATAGATTCATGGAGGTTAGGTCCATCAATGGCTGTTAGCCAGGATGGGTAGGAATGGTGTCCCTCGCCTCTGTTTCTGTGGAGGTGGGTGACAGTGGAGGGATCACATGAGGATTCCCTGTTGTGTTCCTTCCCTCTAGGGCACCTGGCATTGGCCACTGTTGGCAGACAAGATTCTGGGCTGGATGGACCATTGGTCTGACCCAGTCTGGCCAGTCTTACATTCTTATGTTGATTCGGATGGGGCAGGAGAGATACAGGCAAAAGGGAAGAGCGAATACCTATTTATAACACTGTTATTGTTAAATAAATCTGTCATGTGAGGCATTGTGCTGTACAAACATGCACAGAATCAGGCTCCCTGCCTCAAAGTGCTGTTGGAAGAAGGGGCAAGGAGCATACCGTCAAAGACGCACCGTTTCATCGTCCGTGCTGTGTGCAGCATTTACAAATAATGCATGACGTTAGCACCCGTTATCCCCATCTGCTCTGCAATCCCCTGCTGACGGTTCTGATTTAATGCTGAGTGTGGCCATAGTGTTCTGTTGGTTAGGATGTAGAAGGGTTCAAAAAAGAGCTAGATAAATTCATGGAGACTAGATCCGTCAATGGCTATTAGCCAGGATGGGTACGGATGGTGTCCGAGGCTGGGAATGGGTGACAGGAGAGGGATTACTTGATGAGTCCCTGTTCTATTGACTCCCTCTGGGGTACCTGGCCTTGGCCACTGTCGGCAGACAGGATACTGGTCTGGATGGACCTTTGGTCTGACCCAGTCTGGCTGCTCTTATGTTCTCAAAAGTGAGAACAAAATGTTCCTAGACCAACTCTCTAAGTGCTGTGAATTCACAGGGGAGATTTTAACTGCCAATCTGTGGTAGTATAAAGATCACCAAATAAGCATCATCAAAGAAGCTGTTGAGTTGTGCAAGGAGCCACTGCCATGACAAAAAAAGCAGCCTGTGCAATGACCAGAGAAGCTTTATATCCTGCATTGAGAGAAGTGGGTTAAGATAGGGAAGCTTGGATAACGGCCATGAGGTCTACAAATGTAGCACACAGGGATGCAGAACACAACTAGTGCTGGGTCAGAACTAGCTGTTGAATTGTTGTGGGAAAACAGCCGGTCGTTTTACCCTGGAATTTAGCTTTCAAGAAATGCAAGCAGCTCCCACACCGTGATCCGGCAGAGCACTCAAGCCCATACTTCCCTTCAGTCGTGTGAGTAAATCTGTTCGTACTGAGGGGATCACTCGTGGGCAGAGTTAAGCACGTGCTTCCGTGCTTTGCTGGATCGGGGCCTGTCGCAGACAGTAGTGCATTCTGTACTACCTGCAGGCCATATGGATTGTACTCCCAGGTGCGTGCAGATAAAACGTATCATGAGTGTAGCATATTTGGTCTTCTGGGTGAGATGTGAGGATGCGTTTTCCCAGCCTGTCTGGCGTGGCTTGGCCAGCGGTTTTCAAACTTTTTTTTTCTCGTGACCCAGTTGAAGAAAATTGTTGATGCCGCGACCCAACATCATGTGACTGGAGTGTGGGCTCCGGGGTGAGGCTGAAGATATGAGCTTTGGAGTGCACGAGGGGGCTCCGGCTTTGGGGGGAGGCAGGGCTGGGGCAGGAGGGCTTAACCTTAAGCGGCTCCCGGTCAGCGGTGCAGCGGGGATGCTAAGGCAGTCCTGCCTCTCCTGGCACCGCAGACCAGGCTGCTCCCCAAAAGCAGGCAGCAGCAGGTCCCCAGCCAATGGGAGTGCAGAGCGAGTGCTCAGAGCAGGGGCCGTGTACCGAGCCCTCTCCCCCCAGGAACTGATCCTCTTACCAACTGCTTCTGGGGCACAGCACCGTTTGCGGTGCCGGGACAGGCAGGGAGCTGCCTTAGCCCCCTAAATGCTCACCTGATCCCTCTGCAGCACCGAGACCCAGCACCCGACATCCCACTCCCCAGTGCTAGGTTGTGCCCTATCATTTGAAAACCCCTTCTGCAGGGTACTCCCAGCACCAGACTGGCACATTAGCAGGCTTTTCAGGCATACATCTCTTTATTCTAATGAGGAGAAAGAGGGCATCACTCCTCCAAATATTTCATCTCCTGAAAACAGCGTTCCCAGGGGAAATACAGGCTGCATTTCTACCGTGAATTCCCAGCTGTGAGCCCTGAAGATAAGTGACATTTCCGTGGGCGTTAAACTAGGCCTCATCTATCTTCAACCTGCAGGAAATAAATAGTAACTTATTTCCAGGAGATGGGGAGAGAGGCGGAGAGTCTAGATTAAAATGGAATTGGAACCGTAAAAGAGCCTGTTAAAATGAAAATGAAGATTCTCTTCTCCTCTCCGACTTTGCTGCGCTGGGAGTTAATGAGTCAAGAATCGGTTCCTTCCGCGCTTTGATCTCTACAGTTAACCTGAGTCGCATCTTAATTTTCCTTTAGAAGCTAAATGAAGGTTGAGAACCAGCTCCTCAGCTAATCCATGTTGGCCTGGCTCCATTGGAGTCCACGGAGCGACATCAGTTTACATCTGCTAGGCACCCACCAAGTATTCAGTAGAAATAACTTGCTGCAGCTCGCACCAGAGAAGCTTATAAGAACCATCTCTGTGGTTGACCTAAGACATGGTCTTACACATAAAGTGATTTATATTGGTTTCATTAAACCAGTGCAACACTGTGTGTGGATGCTCTTACATCAGTTTAAACCTGGATTACATCCATTTAGTATATGTTGGGAAATGTATAGGTGCATGCTGAACTGATATATCCAACTGAAACCCACATAAGGCCAGATCTACAGTTAGGAAGAAAGTTGACTTAAGATAGTGTAGCTGGAGTAAAAAAAAATGTAACTCAAATTTCCGCGGTGTCCCCATTGCAGGAGGTCAGGGGGAGAAACTCACCCGTCGACTTCCCTTAGGCCAGATATATGCTAGACCCAGCAGCTTGGCTTACAGTACACAACTTCAGCTATGTACATACTGAAGTCAGCTTACCTTAGGCCGAGCTTAGCGGTGTCTGAACAGCGGGAGCCTGTGGGAGTAAACGATCCCATCGATTTCCCTTACTCCTCGCAAAAGCAGGAGTACCGGACGCTGACAGAGGTGCCCTATGAGTTCATTTTAGAGAGCCTTAACTAGATTCGCTAAGTCAAACTCCTGAAGATTGATCGTGGCAGTCTCAATCTTCCGTGAACACATGGTCTGACTCCTCACAAATCCATGGAGTACCGGGGGTGCCATTGGTGATTGATTTAGCAAGTCCTTACTAGACCCACTAAATCGAACACCAGAAGATTAATCTCCAGAGTGTCGATCTCCAGGTAAGTATATAGGGTTGCCAGGTGCCCGGTATTGACCCGGACAGTCCGGTATTTTCGCCTCCTGTTCAGTAAAATAGATTTCAGAAAATACCGGACTCCTAAAATGTCCAGTATTTTCTAATGATTTTTTCCCTGCTAGGAGGCAAAAATACCAGACACCTGGCAACCCTACACACACTCAGCAACTGGGCCCAGCCCTCCTCCCCTTTCTTTCCCCCGCCCCCCAGCTTACCTGGTTCTGCAGGGGAACTTGGAGAAGGAAAACAAGATGGCCACTGGCCGCCTGCTAAAGCCAAAACAGCCTCAAAGGCATTTCCATGTTGATTGGTTTTTTTTTTTTTTAAGCTTAATAACTCTCGGGGTCCTTTTTTTCTTTTTTAGGCAACCCTATAAGTATAGACAAGGCCCAAGTGTCAAGGGAACATATTACATAGGGCTGGAAATATCGGGACCAGACTCCTGCTATCACAGGAAATCCCATCGTATAATCCATTCACAAACATACCACACGCCATCCAGGTGTGTGTCTGTATGCAAGTCAATACACAACATCACACCAGCTTAACTAAACCAAATGAGGTGAAACTTCCTGTCAGCAGCAGTTGTTGGGCAGAAGAAAGATTTGACTGGAACAGAAAGTTTGTGACTATAAGGAAACAGGGGGATGATTTTATTCCGTTTATCTGACACACCGACCTATTTGTTCCTCTCTGTGCTCTCGGTGGCCAGTTTGATACATTGCCACAAATAGTTACCACTGTCATTTTTTCCTGGAACCGAAGGGCGGGTATAAATCACAAAGGGACACTGAAATCAATAGTTACACCAGTTTACAGCAGTGGAGAATCTAACCCAGCTTTCCCTCCTTCCAATTAACCTGCTGTGTGTTTCATCCAGGGGAAGATGCAGAATGCAGTTGTGCTTTGAGTGAGATGTTTGGCTCCAGATTGATTTTGATCATTTCAGGCTTGCCAATTAAAACTAAAATGCCCTTCGCAGCAGTGGCCACAGAACTTGTGTGAGTGGATTTTTGAGAGACAGGGCTGCCCGGATAGGTCTTAAATTTGGATACCGCTGAAATCCAAGCAGGGAAAAGAGAAACAGGCAAAACCCAACCATGTAAAATGTCACACTGGCCACTGCGCCTTGATCAGACCTTTGAGCCAGATCCTCGGATGGGGTTATTTAGTCTGCCTTTCCTGAGTACTGGGAAGCTATGTTGATTTACACCGGCTGAGAATCCATCTGGCCCTTTGTCTTGTTTGAAAGTCAGTAGGACTTTTGTTTTAAGGGAATGCTGCCTACCTGGCAGCTTAGCTCCATTTATAAAAATCACCTTCAATTGCTGACCTTCCCCAGAAAGATATCAAGGGACTCGGAGTAAATTCTCTAGAGGGGCCATTAGCAGGCAGCCGAACTATCCTTTGTGCCGGCTCTTGTTTCCACAGAGGAGACAGGAAATGCGACCTGTTTTGTTGTATGAAGTTGTTGCCAGATCATTCTCTGTCCCTCCCCCACCCCCTCAGAACTGGCAAGGAGATGGAGGAGGGCAGGTGTGTCCCTCTTCCACTTGAGGAAAGCTGCCATTTTCAAACGATGTTTTATGTGTTTAGAAGCCAGCTCGGTGCTGTCAGACCGTCATGACAGCGTGAAATGGGTTTTCCGGGGCTCAGCGCCCGGGCTCTTTCGCTGAACAACATGGAGATTCCAAAACCTGGCCTGGTTGCTTTTCCCATTCGGGGTCCACCTGAGGACTCTGGGTCCAATTCTCACATCCCTGGAACGATTACAGTAAAAAATCCAACTTACTCCACATGAGTAAAGATGGCAAAAATCTGCCCTTCTGTTTTTCCCTTCTCTGCTCATTTTAGACCTAATCCTTCCTTGCTCCTTCCAGTTCCAGACGCTGGGCAAATGTTGCTTAGAACAGCAAGCACGGTCGTTTTTATAAACTACTTGCAACTGTAGTGTGGTTCTTTTATCTCCCAAACTCCCTCACTGGACTCACCAAAGAACTGACAACACTTCCCCCGCTCTGCCCAGAGCCACGTGTCTCTGCTTTCACCCTTCGATTTGCCCCATACGCACAGAAGCAAATAACACTGAGAATATCTGTCAGGTGCATTGATCATGGGAGTATTGATAGCGGCTGCTGCATTTTTCAGTGATGGCCCATATGAAAAGCACTATGCATGCCCTCCCAATAGGATTATGCCTAGAATCCTGCATATCCATGAATATCTGCAGAGAGCTGTGGCTCATTTTTGCAGACACAAATTTTGTATCCATGCTGAACACTACTTATGTCTACACGTAGCTGTATGCACCGGCCAAATCCACAGCTTGCATGCCGGCACGCAACATCCAACGAGCATATGCAAGACAAGCGCGTGCAAAAATACCGCTAGACTATTGCATGCATCAGAAAATAAATTCCTTTATTCCCAAGGGTATCGTGCTCGACCTCATAAGTATGCGGGACATGGATAATGCAGCATTGATTTGTTCCTTCCAAGGTGTCTTTTCTTAATGTTTCTGCGTATGTTTGTTCCTTCTCCATCTTCATGGGGCCTTTTTGTATCTGTCCTTCTTCAGGTATGTATCAGCTATGACCACACCGGCTCGCATGTCGCCTGTTGATTTCCACACTCCAAGTTCTCCAAAGTCCCCCCCTTCCGAAATGTCTCCACCAGTGTCCAGCTTAACAGTCTCTGTCCCATCTGTGGCGGTCAGTCCCTTTATGGAAGAAGAGAGGCCTCTGCTTTTGGTGACCCCTCCTCGGTTACGGGAGAAATATGACTCCCACCTTCAGCAGTTCAACTCCTTCCACCACAACCCCGCCCACGAAAGCAACAGTCCACCACCTAGTCCGCTGAGGATAGTGGAGGACGAGGAATACGAGACCACACAGGAGTACGAGCCAGCGCAGGAACCTCCAAAGAAACTAGTCAACAGCCGGAGGGCCAAAAGAACAAAGCCCAATGGCCACATTTCCAACAGGTTAGAAGCGGACACCGACACAAGCTCTGAGAGCAGTAGCTCTGAGAGTGAGACGGAAGATGAGAGAATAGGTGAGGATACACCGTTCCTGAGCATACAGAATCCCGTGGCCACCAGCCTAGAGCCAGCCCCTGCATACCGACTGGCGGACAGCAGGACTAACCCAACTAGCCGGTTCTCCACGCAGGAAGAATTACAAGCAAGGTTGTCCAGTGTAATAGCTAATCAAGACCCGATTGCTGTATAAACCATAAACCAAACGCATAGATTCACATGTAAAACTTTATTTTATATAATGAAGTATTCCACCTTTAAATTAAACAATTTATTTTATTTTAGCAAATTCCACTAATAGAAAACAGGAGGGGGGGAAAACTTTTATAAATTAAATATATGTATGTACAAATGTGTTATGTGCCATATGTAGCAATTTTTTACAGTATTTCAAAAATGAGAAAGATATCAATGGTGCCTTTCTGTTACGTTATGTTGAGAGCAAGTTTTGTACTGTCACAGTAATTGCTGTTCCACGGTATTTTGCAGAACCTTCCGACCTTCAGTTTTCCTGGCTCTTTTTTTTTTTTTTTCGGTTTTTTTTTTTTTTTTTTTTTTTTTTTTTTTTGTGCATTGCATTATGGTAACTGGCTGTATGATTTGCAAGAATTGCAAAAGTCCCGATGTTTGCTTCTAGAACACCCCCCTCCCAAACAAAATACCCTCTACTGGCATACCCACCGACAAAACAATACTGTTTTCTTCGAGAAGAGGTTTTATTTGCTTTCTGTATCCGAAACTAATTTTGTCTGCTCTCGGCCAGCCAAAAGGTTTGCTTCATTGGGCACATCCAAGAGCATGCTACTATTAATGACAGCAGGATAACAAAAACTGCATTAAATAATGTTACATATTAGAAAGAGAATAATGCTGTGATTTTAAACTGACTATATTATTAATCAGGAATCAGCTTGCACTCACTAGGAACTGTCATTACATTTTTTTCCAGATATTAATTGTCCTAGTTATCCCTTAGAAAATGGGTTCAGAGTGCCAGAGGCTGCGAACCCCCATACTTTACAAAAGAACAAGATTTCTGTTACTGAGGAAAATATACCAGGTCTCTGTAACCAGACAAGGAAAAGAACTAGCTGGAAAAAAATGCCACTAATAAAAGTGCAGCCATTTTTACCTGGATTTTTAATGCTGATTTTTAATAGACAAATTATTGTTTGTTTCTAGAGGGACCCAGTGAGGAGGGCGGGAAGTAGCAAACCTGATAAGTACACTGTGACTAGCTGGAGTTGCTATTAGAACAGGGGTGGACAATAAATTTCATAGGGGGGCCAGTTAATGAATTTCACGGGCCGGCTCCATCCCGGAAGGGGCAAAGCCTGGGGTAGAAGGGGCGGGTCTGCAGACTAGCCTCCCCCGGAGCTGTGTAGGCCAGAGGCTTTGAATTAAAAATACAGCAAAGGGCTCGTGGCTTCCAGCTCTTCCACTACTGCATTGCTTGGCAGCCACCTGACAGGATAACACCGTGAGCAGGAGCTATTCACATAGGATCCTGTTGCCTGAGCCCACCGCCTAAAAATCCGGTGGCACAGGCAGCAGGATATAAATAGAAAGCGGCCAGATGCCGTGCGCAGGCTGGATCACAGCGTTAGGTGGGCCGGGTCTGGCTGTGTTCGAATGAAAGTCCTCCTTGCCCTTAGAAATGACTTGCAGACCAATCAATTTGCTGGCTAGTTAAAAGGAAGCGCGGTGGGAAAGATAGCTCCGAGGAAGCATTGCGTTTGTGACCTGCTTGTTCCTAGCTCTGTGAAAAGCCCGTGTCGGTAGACACGCAGGCTGTGCGAGGGATGTGCATGGCTGTTTGGGCCGGTGGCCACTGTGGCATTAGAATCTTTGACTGGACTAGCCAAGTGTTCTGAGACTGGAGTGAGCGCACCCTTTCAGACAGAAGCAAATCACCTCTTTGGCACCCAATTCGGATCAGTATAGTGGAGCGACGACCTCTCCTTTGGTTTGACGTTGAGCTGGCACACTGCAGTGCTGCATGGACCTCTGGGAGTACGACTAGGAGAACAGCCGTGCTATAAGTATTATCGATCCTAAATAGGAGCCCTTGCAGAACAAACATTTCAGCCCTACTCTTGGGGCTGCACTGTGATCCCAGTTGCACAGGTGTCAATCTGATTATTTCGAGGTAATTATGCCAGATACGCACCAGGGGAGCTGAGATCGCAGGTCAGCAAAGCGCTAAGCACACGCTTCTCTTTCGCACGTGCTCGGCTCCCGCTGACCGGAGGAATGTTCAGCATGCACTGAAGTGCTTTGCCCAGCGGCGGTGGACTGCTCCTTCCCGGTCCAACAGCCGAATCGGGCCTGCTGCGGGTTGGTACCATCCAAACGGATGGCTGTGAGAGGAGCGCACTCCGCCGTCCGATCAAGCGGAGTGAGAGCCTAGGACAGTAGGGGGCCAGTGACGAGATCAAATCTTTCTGATGGACGGGAAAGCGAGGGCAGGCAATTTTCAGCACAGCAGCGGGCACAGTCGGGCTTGCGTATCACGGCACATTTAAATAGCAGAGGGGAACCTGCTGCATTTTCATTGGCTGTGTCGCCAACACGCCTATGCCCTCCCAGTTTTCCCTCTTCTTTTGCGTGCATTGCTGTATTGTCACTGCGCTTTACAGCGTCTTCATCTCCACACACAGCCTGGGAGGCCCTGGCTTAGAATCATAGAGCTGGCAGAGACCTCAAAAGGTCAAGTCCCGCCCCCTGCCCAAGGCAGGACCAATCCCAACTAAATCAACCCAGCCAGGTTGTCAAGCCGAGACTTAAAAACCTCGAGGGATGGAGATTCCACCCCTCCCTAGGGAACCCATCCCAGTGCTTCACCCACCCTCCTAGGGAAATAGTTTATCCTAATATCTAACCTAGATCTCCCCCTTTGCAACTTGAGACCATTGCTCCTTGTTCTGCCATCTGCCACCACTGAGAACAGCCTCTCTCCATCCTCTTTGGAACCTCCCTTCAGGAAGTTGAAGGCTGCTATCAAATCCCCCCTCACTCTTCGCTTCTGCAGATTAAATAAGCCCAAATCCCTCAGCCTCCTCTCGTAGGTCATGTTCTCCAGCCCCCGAATCATTTTGGTTGCCTTTCGCTGGACCCTCTCCAATGTGTCCACATCCTTTCTGTAGTGTGGGGCTTCCATGTGCTTGTTTCCTCTCTTAGGCTACATCTACACTGCACGGCTATTTCGGAATAAGCTATTCCAGAATAGTTATTCCAGAATAGCTTATTTCAAAACAGTGCGTCTATCTGCAGGGAAGCCTCAAAATGAGTCCGAGGCAGGCTTCCCTAGTGTAGACGTGCTATCTTGATTTAGAGCCCCAGAAGGAATAACTTAGAATGGCCCTGGTGAGGGGCTATTTCAAAATAGCAGAAGTGGTGCGTCTACACAGCCCCTATTCCGAAATAGGTATTTCAGAAGAGGCGTTATTCTTCGTAGAGTGAGGTTTACAGAAGTCGGAATAAGCCGTCCGTTATTTCGAAATTATTTCAAAATAACCGAATGGCTGCGCAGACACTCGCATAACTATTTTGGAAGAACAGCCGTTATTCTGAAATAACTTTGCTGTGTAGACAGACCCTTTAGTCGTTATTTTTGTTGGCAGTGCGGAAGTGCTAGTGGTCTCCACAGAGACCAGGCCCCATTGTGCTAGGGAACTGAAAAAAAACAGTAAGACGAAGTGGCTGGGATTTTTAGAAGGCCTACGTAATTTAGAGATGCAGGCCTTATTGCCTGTCAAGGGGACTTGTGCTCTCAAGTCATGTAGGTGCTTTTGAAAATTCGGCCCAGTCTCGGTGAGTTTACTAAATAGACAAGAGGGGGGAAGAGTGGGAATGCAGGCCCGTCGACAGGGTGGGCAAAGGGGGTAATTGCCCTGAGCCCAGTGATTCAAAGGAGCCCGGGACTCCCAGCTGTTGCCGCCGCTACTGTGAGAGTAATGGCTGGAGCTGCGGGCCCTTTAAAATGGCCACCAGAGCACTGCGCGCTCTGTATGACTGAGGGTGGTGCACCATGCTCCAGCTAGCACGGAGGGCTGGCTGCCCCTTCCTTCTGAGACCTCACCCCTTCCGCCTGAGACCCCACCCTTTCTGGGAGCACAGAGCCCTCCCCCCCCTGCACCTGACCCAGAGGTCCCCTGGTGAGAGAGGAAACAGAGGGGACGTGTCGTACCCAAGACCTCATACCTGGGAAAAGAAATTTCCCGGGTCCACATTCAGTGCTCCATCTGCTGACCTACGCCGTGTCTTGGTGACCTTTCTGGCTTGCCTGAGATTAATGGAGGGAACCACATGAAAGCAGAGCAAGCCACTTGCAAAGTGGTATCCAAGATTACAGAGGAGCATGACAAAAAAAATCTGTCCCCCATGCCCCTGGGACGCCCGGCGGAAGACGTGGCATTCTTCTGAGGGTATTGGCAAGCTCCCAAGCCAAAGGTGGAGTAACGCACCACAGCATGCGAGCCCGGGGAGCTGCTGGGTGGGAGTTTCAGAGATGCGTGTGCCCAGTGCGTGTCAGTGGGCCTTGGGGAATACCACCTAAAGCCAAACCTGTGTCCAGTCAGTAGAGTGATCCTGGTTTTCCCCCAGCATAACCCAGCAGAATGTGGCCCCTGGCATGAGCCGTATTAGTAACATGCAGTGAGGATGGCAGGACCCAGTCTAAGACGAGGGTAACCAACTAGTCACACGACAAGCCCTGATACTTCTGTGGCCTGCTGCTTCGCAGAGAGGTGCTTGATCCTGCAAGAGATGCTGGGCTGTCCCTGGATTCGTTCCTCACTTTGCAGGACTGGCTGGGAGAGAGGAAACCTAGCGCTCTGCATCCACAGCATTGGAGCAAACAGGCTCCATGTTATTGAGGTCTCTTCAACACTATCTAACCTCCCCCGTCAGCGCACCACCCCTCTGCTAAAACAGTGAGTGCAACCACCATCCCAGGAGGACCAAAGACTGTGAGTGTCCCTGTGTTCCATCACCATGGACGGGCGTCAAATGAAGAGAAATTAAAAAGACGGGGACTTTTCAGCTTAGAAAAGAGGAGACTAAGAGGGGATGTGACAGAGGTCTGTAAAATCATGGCCGGTGTGGCAAAAGTGAATAAAGAGAAGTTAATTACTTGTTCCCATAATATAAGAACTAGGGGACACCAAATGAAATGAATAGGCAGCAGGTTTCAAACTAACAAAAGGAAGTTTTTCTTCATGCCGTGCACAGTCAACCTGTGGAACTCCTTGCCAGAGGATGTGAAGACCAGGATTTTAGCAGGGATCAAAAAAGAACTAGATAAATTCATGGACATTAGGTCTATCAATACTTACTAGCCAGGATGGGTAGGAATGGTGTCCCTGGCCTCTGTTTGTCAGAGACTGGAAATGGGTGATGGGAGGAATCACTTGATGATTGCCTGTTCTGTTCCCTCCCTCTGGGGCACCTGGCAATGGCCACTGTCGGAAGACAGGATACTGGGCTACATGGACCTTTGCTCTGACCCAGTCTGGCTGCTCTTATATTCTTATGTATTTATATGAAGCTGCTGTGCATTTGGGGCAATTCTGCATGATTAGAGGATCCCATCAGGGTTGGGCGATGGAAAGTGATACCTAAAACATGTCAAGGGCCTGATCTTTGCCCGGTGTAAATCAGTACAGCCACATGGCCTCTGATTTACACTAGCTGAGAATCTACCCCTGGAGCCTCACGTTTGTCTTTCCCCTTCCCCCACCTCATCCCCCCCGTTTCCGCTCACATCGGGTGTGATAGGACCATCATTTTGCTTTGCCACGGAAACCCTGCAACTTTCTTTCCTTTCTCCCGTCTCCTGACACCGAAGCTTTGTCTCCTCTTTTCCTCCCACTGCTCTGGTTTTGCTTTGGGAAAAGCAAATCCCGTCCCCGCTAAAAGGCCACAGCAATCATAAGCAAAACCTGTTCTCTGCCGACTACGTTCCATCAGCCACCCTGACTTCCCGTGGGAAGAGCACCCATGAAATGCTGCAGAGAAATGCAGACCAAGAAAATGGCCGCATGTCATCATGATTGTAATGATCTATTCTGTTGTAAATACATTGTGTACATACTTGAATGTTTTCCTCCATCATTTATTGTCTTTCTGGGTTACGT